ATTTGATTTAAAATGATATTTTTTGCCACACATTTAAACATACTTCTAGAAACAAACATAACATGCGTACAGCTTTTTATTTTATGTTTTACGTGATGTCTAAAATGTCAATTAAACATCTTTTTGCAATGTCATTCCAATTGGCATTTCACTACCGAAAAACGTCTTCAAATAGCGTACTCGCTACATTGCAGCCCCGATTCGTGCCCCCAAATCCTGTCAGATTTCCTGAGGATTTCATACACTTTGTTTCTGCACCCCAAAGAAAAAATTCAATAGGAGACGACTTTGTTTCATGAGCTGACCTGCATGTAAATTTTAGAACGATAGTCCTGAATTATTTTGTATACTTTTAGTGCTAACCAAGTTCAATTATTCAAAATTTTTGGTTTGTTTAATGAAAAGTATTTCAATACTTTTTATAACCATCTAAAAATTGTTGAACTATAAACTTGATGTAACTGTATATAAACTTTTATTAGGTTGCGTGACGATTCCTGGAGCTGGCGGAGGTACATTTCTTGGCGGTTACTTAGTCAAGAAGTTTAATCTTCGTTGTGCGGGTATCATCAAAATGTGCATCATCTTCTCTTTCATCTGTGTCGGGCTTGTCTTCATATTTATTCTCCATTGTCCAAATGCGAAATTTGCAGGTCTCAATCATTTTCTGCCTAATAGGTAAATAAAAAAGTTATTTATCATACCTACCAAATATTTCTTCTTCCAAGAATGATTTTACGAAGTTGTAAATAGCATGAGAATTGAACTATATTCTCAGGCAAAACTATTTTGACCGAACTTATACCCATAACCCTAAGATTACCATACATTCATATGTCTGTTAAATTTATTTTCATGCTGTAGTTGTCAGAAGCATTTTAAATTGAATTTGAAACTCTAAGAATCGGATATATGCAAGTGACGTCATCGTAGGTAAATCGTAGCGTTCAGAAGTGAATCAGGTTCGAGACGCACATGACGTCGCTTACAGGTATCCAAATAAATCCAATTTAAATCATACAGTTAGGCATGATCAATTCTTATCGAGTTGCAAGTACCCTATTAAAAGCAAACAGCTTAAATTTTTGTACATTTTAACTACGGAAAATATCAGGAGAAGCTGGCAGCTATGATTTACTCATATCCACTTTTAAAAATTTAATGACAAAGGTTGAAATCTGAAGATGTAAAACCATGTATAGAGTAACTACCAAAATATCTAGATCTCCCTAATATTTATAATGGTTATAATTAACTTAGCCAATGCTTTTAAAATTTTACTAGCGTTTGAAAAGTCCCATGGTAGTCAAGATAACTTCAAATCTAATACTAAAGCATAAATTTTGCTACCACTAAGGGAGCGCTGCCTAACTTTTCATTGGAAGTATTTGAACTCTGAATTTTTTTTTCATGCCTTCTACATATGCGTATTTATGCATTCGGTTAAATTCTTATTTATCTACTAGATTGTTACATTTTAAAGAATGCTGTATATGTGTGAATTATAATATAATAAAAAGATTTGCAATTTTATTTTGTAGTTCTGAGCCATCTGGCATTCCTCGTTTTAAAGGAACTTGCAATGATGCTTGTGATTGCTCGCCAAGACAGTATGATCCAGTCTGTGGTACAGACAACATCGTCTACTATTCTCCTTGCTATGCCGGATGTAAAAGCACTTATCAAATAGGCAGTACAAAAGTACTTACATTACTGTATTTTTTCTTCTTTTCAATGTGTGTAATTTTTCAGTTATTAATTGAATAAGTATTTCTTCTTCGCAGATATATGGGGATTGTAGCTGCATCAGACATGAAGGTCAGAATGCAACAGTAAATGGTCAAAACGTTATCATTCAAGCTACCAGGGAAAAATGTGTTAATTATTGCACATACATGCCTGTGTTTTTATTACTCATATTTTTATCCATGCTTTTTACATTCCTCGTCAGTATGCCATCCCTTTCCGGTACTTTAAGGTAAGGAAATCATATACTGGTGCTCAAAACACTAGTATAGAATTTTCATTAGCTCAGTGAACGTACTTTTCATGCTCCTTCAGGGTTAGCGGTTATTTATTTGTAATTTTTTGTGTGTTAACGAAGCAAATTTTGATGTGCATTAGAAAGAATTTAATAGCTTCATTTTCAAAAATGGTGTCATTTAAATAACAAGTACATTTTTAGCCAATTTCTATAATTTTTTAAATGATAACTGGTTTTGAATGATAACTGATTTGAATGATGATTTTGAATGATACAAATACAATTTTGCAGTTCGGTTCTTAAAATTGTATTTGTATCAGTTTTATATTTTACTTACAAATACGGTTTTAAGTACTGAACTGCAGTTATAACGCAAAAATTTATAGAAAATTAGAACAAAATAATAATTGCTTGAAACAATTAACTCGAATTTATTGCTAAAAATGTGTTTGTTTATTTAAATGATAAGTTTTTGAAATGAAGCAATTAAATTCTTTCTCGTGCACATGAAAACATGTTTTGCCAATGAATAACCTTAAAAAATGAACAAGTAAATATAAAAACTATAACAATGTAAGAGTAAATAAAAAATGTACTGTAAAAAAATTCAGTTTTATCTCAACAGCAAAAATACTGGCAACTACATTTTTATTGTGTATGCTATAATGAATCACTACAATACTTTGGGGAAAAGTGGTTGATACAATTTTTTGCACTAACATACTCTCAATTTTTTTTACAGTGTGGTTTGATTAATGATCGTAATATTACGCTCTAAAATATAATATTGTTCATGGCTCGAGGAACAATTTATTCATTCATATTTCAGAGGGTCATTGTTCTTTCCTGATAAATCAATACTGCTTTTAAAGAAAAATGTTGCAGATATTCACTTATAACCAAGACAAATACTTCAAAAGGAAAGTTTACCTATAAATGAGAAAAAAAAACTATTTCTAGCTTTTTTCCAAGAGAATTAAAATATTTGATAAAAAAATGTTTACATGACTGTTTCTTGCTAGGTAATGGTGGTGAATAGATTGTAATTAGAAAAAGTAAAACCCTTAAAATTATGCAGTTCCCTTAAGTTTTATAGAAAATCATGGAAAATAGTCTTGGAAAAAGGGTTTGATAAAAATTTATTTAGTTGTTATTGTACGATATTCAACCAAAAATAAATGAAATAACCATAAAAGGAAAGATGGTATTCAAACTGCTTACTGTTAAATAATCGTTTACTGACTGTTTTCACCCAATACGGTTAAACATCAAAAAGAATTATATCCCTTCCAACCAGATCCACAGCCAATAAGAATCGAGCTCACGTTCTTCGAAAGTTGAAAGCTAAGCCATGTCATAAGAATTACAAATTCATATTCTTATTTTCCATTATCGGATGCTTAACACAACATGGGATGCCTGATAATATTAAAGTAATAAGTATGTGGTGAACACCTTATGAAGACACTTAATTCCTTGCAGCTGTTGCAGCTTACATAGTAGTACATAGTGTAACCGAAAGGCTTAATCTGTTCTTCTTATAACTGTCTGAACGAGTGCTCAAATCCCAGCGTTGACACCGTAATATTTTCTCCAGTCCTATAACATATCAGAAGTTTCCAGTGTTCTGCACTACTCGATTGGTGTTCCTGGAGTATTGGAAAAAGAAACTCTCATTCACTTATGCATAGCAACCCTACAGAGCTACTTAACACAAAATATTCTAGTACTTCGCATCTCTCGCGATAGACGACTCTTCTAGATAAACTAATTACCCCACATTCAACCGTTCACTTGATAAAATACAACTCAACTGCAACCTAAATCTATTGTCCATTGCCAATCGAAAAGCGTAATATAACGATTTTGATAATATGATAATTGTAAATAGTAATAAAACCGTATAGTTTCATACTTGCGGTTTTTCTAATTACCCGTTATAAATTATTTCAAACCCAAAAAGGTAAAGAAATTCCCCTAACCTGTAACTTACCGTCGGATGAATTGACTACTGCCGGTTATTTTACCGCAATTTTAGAATAAAAATTCTAGCATTGTAAAATATACACTGTTAAATATATTCACTCTATATACACACAGATACTTACACTGTATATACGCACTGTATATATCTGTTATAAAGATATTTCATGAATATTTCACTCTTCTTGTTAGTTTTATGTAAATAATATTTACGTCTGATCAAGTATAATTTTTTTTCGTCCTCCTGATACCGTTTATTCACCCCACTCAGCATCTTAGCGATTTTCATTTTCATTTGAAAGGCGTGTTATCGATATTTTACAGTATCTAGAATAGAATACATGCCCAGTCAAGTATGTAAGTGAAAATAATACATATACCCCATCAGAATTTTCATATGTTCCAAGCATGCCGATCAATATATTTTTCAAGCCTGATGTATATACACACTATAACAAAAAAATCAACGCACCTAGAAGCAATCATCCGATTGCTTTGAAATTTGGAATTGCTGGAATGATACCAACTGGGGACGTATAGTCTTTAGCGA